CTCATCTTTGTCGCCATATTTATCACAACGTATCGTCCCTTTAGTATCTGTCTATATTTCTATATTACAACGTTTCGGCCGTTGTACGCTCCGGCCTTCTTCAGGTGGTTGGAATGTCGAACTGAACCCTTTATTTTGTTCACTGAGGTAGACTCTTCTAGTTCCACATGCCATGTTTTTAATGGGTGTCAGTTAACAGTTATCTCCTGTTAATTTTGCCCTCTGAAAGTTCTCCACTGCCTTAACTGGGTATTGAACTCACACTCTTTGGGTTCTGTCACTGGATCTAACCAACGCCTTTATCCACTGTGCCAGTTCAATACCCGGTTAAGGCAGTGGAGAACTTTCAGAGGGGAATTAACAGGAGATAACTGATAACTGACATCCATTAAACATGGCACGTGGAACTAGAACAGGCTACCCCAGTGAGAGAAATAAAGGGTTCAGTTCGACATCCCAACCACCTGAAGAAGGCCGGAGCGTACAACGGCCGAAACGTTGTGATAAATATGGCGACAAAGATGAGGACAATAATCCGAATAATGTAAATAAAGAAATGATTTATAGCTGCAAAAAAAAAAAAAATCTATTAATTGCTTACACATACATAATAAATAGAGAATCCCTGTAGCAGACGCCAGCACAGGCACATTAGTGTTTGTTCAACGTCCTCAACGTCTAAAAGTGTTTTATACTGCAACTATGCTGAGCGGACCTTACAGTTTTTGGCATTGTGTACATAATCTGGTGTGGCCAACAGTTTAAACAACGCCAGTACACTAAAATTCTCGGTCAGGACGAGTTGTTCCTTCGTGCACGCACAAGCATCGACGGCTTCCGAAACAGTTTCGTCTACTCAGTTTTAGCCACAAGGCTTGGGTCAAGGTGTAGTGAGGTTTTCAGGAACTTTCCAAAGATGCCGCTGTCTGGGATCGCTTCCCCAAGCCGATAAGTTCAAGAGGTTACCTCCCTGACCTATCGACAGCGGTGTGATATACGAACCTGGTTCTTATGGCTAGGAAGCGAACGTCTGTCTGTCTGTATGTATGGAAGCGCACCGAGAGAAAGAAACTGGAAGAAAATAAAGACCACTTAATATTTTCAATCATGAAAGACATCTTTGAGAACAGGTGTGTCCTATTTGCGTTTCTTATTCAGTTCTGGTTGTACGTTATGACTAATTTAGGAAGTTTCTGACAGAAGAATCTTTATGGAAATGGATACTTTTATTGAGAAAGTGCAAGAGGGGTCGGGTTGGAGACGTCTGTGTGAGTGTGTGCACAAACACAAGGTTCATCTGTTGTGCGTCTCCTTGGGAAAAAATATCAAAGAGATTAGTTCCATCTTTTGCTTCAGTGCCAATCGTTTCGGCTCGAATACCGACTTATCAGTCACAAAAAGAAAGGGAAAATACATACCTATATGATATTTGTTTCAAAGATAGATAGATAGATAGATAGATAGATAGATAGATAGATAGAGAGGGAGGGAGGGAGGGAGCAAGAGAGAAAGAAGGAGTATGATAGTAATTTCAAAAACTCCATGGAAAAGCCTGCATGCATATCGACACTTAAGAAGAAAGCGATTAATGGTCTTATCTTCGCATGTTGAATACTGCGGAAGGTGCATTAGATGGAATTTATACTGAAATGGTTCGTTGGTTGATGGATTTTCCGATATATCAACTCTTGTTAAGTTCTTTAATGTCTAAATCAATCTTTTTTATAACATTATATCACTCTCTTAACACCCATAAAATAAAGATTGTAAGAACATGAGAAAAAAAAAAAACTGACAAAAAAATAAAAGTCCGATTCTCCATGACATTCAATCAAATTTTTTTTACAGTAAGGTTTACCATGTACAAGGCTCGTGAGACACTCGAGCTAGATGGTTATATTAAGCGGCAGTTTTAACTTGAACAGATTAAGATTGTAATGATTGAGGAAACATCTCCTTTGGAGTCGTTTCTACAGAGAAGTTGTTCATGGAAAGGAGCTATTCAAGTGGAAATTATATCTCACCAATGGGTCATATAGGTAATATACGTGGTTTGCTACAATGTAAGTGGGATGGAGTGTCCTCTACCCGTGAAGGTTAAAACTAATGGAACCGAGGAATATTGTTCGTCCGAGCACTTTTCATTGCCCTAGCGACAGAAAGTAATGAGAAGCACGCCACAGCACGCCCGTAAGAAAGAGGTTAGAGGCTGGAAAATAATTTAGTACCAACACGGTCAAAAGAGACTCCTTTGAACTTTATTGAGACGAGAGAGGAGGGACTGGGCAATTCCTGTCCAAATACGACAACAGTATTCTATTTTAGATCCGCTTTGTAAAGTATAGCATGAGGAGTCATGTATTTACTGCAGCGGTACAGGGAGCCGTCCATTTTTACAACATTCAGTTCCATTAAGATCAGTTGTGAGTTTAAGGCCTAGTCGCCTCTCAAGGCATAGAGCCTCCCCTAGGCGGGGCATCCATTCATCGAAACTGGCGGCAGTTCGGGATCCGGTCAGTGATGATGAAATGCAACTAGTTTAGTTTTTGTTATATACCGTACCTATGATCACTAACGGGGTATGCCCCAATCCTTATAAATACGTTACACACTATTTTAAGTTGGAGGTAATATGCTAAGTAGTGCACCACTAGCAGTGGTTTACCTACTTCAGGCCGCTGGCGAGTATTGTATTTTGGTGATGTCATAAAGATTACCATTTCATTTCCAGCCTCTGTTTTGGTCATTCCTCATTCAGTAACCCTTTCTAGGTTACAACAGTTTTCGAGCCACTGAATGTAATCAGCCAGTTTTTGCCTCACTGAGCTGTTGGTGTTAGATCAGATGAGAGATCAGTAACCAGTCTCTCATCATCAAGAATTCAATATGTATAAAAGAAAGATCGCTACTCAATATATATATATATATATATATATATATATATATATAGATAGATAGATAGATAGATAGATAGACTCGTTTCGAGAAACCCTCGAATTTTTGATTTGCTAATCAAATCAATCTCGAGGGAAAAAAAGGTTTTAAAAAAAGAAAGAGCTACAAACATGAACTTCTGCCGACAAAAAAAATCGCACAGATGCAGGCACAGATGTCTGTCTCACTAGGTGTATCTATATATCTATCTATCTATATATATATATATATATATATATATATATATATATATATCGTAAAGATATAGTTTTAAGATATATATATTTTGGAATAAAAGTGCTCAATATCAGAGATAGAGCGTATGTAAATATAAAAGTGTACAGTAAGGTTAAAACCAAATGGGGACAGTAATTTTCATGCTTTAAATAAAAGATAAAGTTTCAGTAACTACAGTGTATTTGCTTTTATTTAGACAAAAATGAGCACTTAACTATAAAAAAATTATCATACAAGAAAATTATATTTTGTTTTTGTCAAATCACCATCTGCATTAATTAATTACTGTTCTACAAATTCTTTGCCTCCTTTCCAACAGTTTTTTTTTATAAAAAGAATGTAGATGGCATGCCTTCACAAGCATTCTTCAAGCAATGAAAAAGATCACGCTCACTCTTTGGGTATTCTTTTCAAACTTTCCTATCCGATTCGCTTCATACTAATTCAATGGGCGAGATATCAGGAGATTGAGACTTTCAGTGTGTCGTGGTCAAATACATTCTGGAAGATATCACTCTGTAAATCTCTATCAGAAATCTCTCCCATTCGGTTTATATCTACGAAGCCTGTTCTATTCTACTAACCCTCCCTCTCGTAAAAGAAAGAGCAATAACTATTAGTGTAATTTCCTGAAAACCTGTTTCAAGGAAAAGATTTGATTAATTTCAACCGATGGTAAACGCTAACTATTCGGTCAATGAATGTCGAATGTTTCCGTATAAGGAAACAGTTAATTTCATCAATACCATCTAAGTCTTTCACATAAATCTAAGTTTGTTCAGTTCTCTCTCATTTTTTAATTCTATCTATCTATCTATCTATCTATCTATCTATCTATCTATCTATCTATCTAAGCTTTTTCATTTCTCTCTCATTTCTTAATTCTGTCTACCTACTCTCTCTCTCTCTCTCTCTCTCTATCTATCTATCTATCTATCTATCTATCTTTGTTCATTTCCCTCTCATTTTGAATTCTATCTATCGACCCAAGTTGTACATATCTATCTATCTATCTATCTATCTATCTATCTATCTATCTATCTCTATCTATCTATCTAAATCTGTTTATTTCTTTCTCACTTTTAATTCTATCTATCGATCCAAGACTTTATCTATCTATCTATCTATCTATCTATCTATCTATCTATCTATCTATCTATCTAAATCTGTTTATTTCTTTCTCACTTTTAATTCTATCTATCGATCCAAGACTTTATCTATCTATCTATCTATCTATCTATCTATCTATCTATCTATCTATCTATCTATCTATCTAAATCTGTTTATTTCTTTCTCACTTTTAATTCTATCTATCGATCCAAGAATCTATCTATCTATCTATCTATCTATCTATCTATCTATCTATCTATCTATCTATCTATCTATCTAAGCTTTTTCATTTCTCTCTCATTTCTTAATTCTATCTATCTATCTATCTATCTATCTATCTATCTATCTATCTATCTATCTATATTCATTTCCCTCTCATTTTGAATTCTATCTATCGATCCAAGTTGTTTCTATCTATCTATCTATCTATCTATCTATCTATCTATCTATCTATCTATCTATCTATCTAAATCCGTTTATTTCTTTCTCACTTTTAATTCTATCTATCGATCCAAGGCTGTCCTCTCTCTCTCTCTCTCTCTCTCTCTATCTATCTATCTATCTATCTATCTATTCTCAGTTGTTATTCACGTTTTTGTTTCTTCTCTGACGTTTCTCGAACGACCGTCTGTCTGATATGACTTTCGGGTCATGAAAGTACTTACAGAGATTATCTTTAGCCGCACGTCGTCTTTGTCTTCACTTAAACAGTTTTCAGATTAGGATTGCTTTTTCTCTCTACAAAGAAAAGCAAATAAATATCTAAATTAATAAAATAATAATAATAATAATAATAATAATAATAATAAAACCCAATTGAAATTGGTTAAAACTGAATGTCTCTAACGATACAGTAAAAGTAAAAATCAAGTGTTCATATGCTTAACATGAATCAAGTTTAGCCTCGCTTAACGTGAATCCTGTTCAATCTCACTTAACGCGAATAACGTTTAGTCTCGCTTAACGTGAACACAAAATGCATCTTATTAAAATAGAAGTTTTCCAAATTCTCTTTTATATTAATCATTTTGTCGGCTTCTCATCGAAAGTTTAGGGCTTACGGCCAAATCACATTGAAATTACAATTCCCATACGATCACCGAAGTTAAGCAACAACGGGCCTGGTCAGTACCACTTGGCAATAATCAGGTGCTGAAAGCTTAAATATGCGGGTGGTATAATGGATGGTAGCCTGTAATTGTTAATCAGAGAGCCGAGTTCCAATTCCAGTTGGGTTCGTTATATTCACTTACGCGTAAATGCCCATGGCAAAGGTATGAATGCGCCTCTTCTCCCCCAGATATGGGTTAATTAGTAAACTTATATAAGTAAAATTATTATGATGTAAAAAAAAATTCTTACAATCTATATATATTTTCTGGATTTAAATATCCTCCAAAGGCTTGATGAACTGCAGAAAATGAACCAACTAACGAACTAACCTAACAGAAATATGCATAAAATTCATAGTAATTTTACTACATTGTACTCTCCGGCTTTCTTCAGTTGGTTGGAATGTCGAACTGAACCCTTTATTTTCTCGATGAGGTAGACAATTCTAGTTCCACGTGCCATGTCTAATGGATATCAGGTATCTCCTGTTAATTCCCCTCTCAGAGTTCTCCACTAGCTTAACCGGGTATTGAGCTCACAACACTCAAGGGCATATGGCCCAGTGGATAAAAACGTTCGTTAAATCCAGTGACAGGACCCAAAGAGTTGTGAATTCAATACCTGGTTAAGGCAGTGGAAAACTTGGAGAGGGGAATTAACAGGAGATAACTGATATATAATTTTTTTTTTCATAATTTAGTGTTGCATCGATTGTCATTTTGCTATAAAAATGTATTACACCTGGTTATATTCATATCAAAATGTATTACACCTGGTCATTTTTATGTAAAATGTATTACTGGTCATTTTGATATAAAAGGTATTACAGCTGTTCACATTGAGATAAATATGTATTACTGGTCATTTTGATATAAACATGTATTACAACTGGTTATTTTGATACAAAAATGTATTACTGGTCATTTTGATATAGAATGTATTACAACTGGTCATTTTGATACAAAAATGTATTACTAGTCATTTTGATATAGAATGTATTACAACTGATCACTTTGATACATAAATGTATTACTGGTCATTTTGATATAAAATGTATTACAACTGGTCATGTTGATACAAAAATCTATTACTGGTCATTTTGATGTAAAAATGTATTACTGGTCATTTTGATATAGAAATGTATTACAACTGGTCATTTTGATACAAAAATGTATTACTGGTCATTTTGATATAAAAATGTATTACAACTGGTCATTTTGATATACAAATGTATTACTGGTCATTTTGATATAGAATGTATTGCAAGTTGTCATTTTGATACAAAATGTATTACTGGTTATTTTGATATAAATATTTATTACTGGTCATTTTGCTATAATATGTATTACTGGTTATTTTGATATAAAAATCTATTACAACTGGTCATTTTGATAGAAAATATATTACTGGTCATTTAACTATAAAAGTGTATTACAACTGGTTATTTTGATATAAAAATGTACTGCTGGTCATTTTGACATAAAAATGTAATACTGTTCATTTTGATCTAAAAATGTATTACAACTGTTCATTTTTATGTAAAAATGTCTTACTGGTCATTTTGATATAATGACCAGTAAGACATTTTGATATTTTATCAAAATGTCTTACTAGTTACCAGTAAGACATTTTTACAGCTGGTTATTTTGATCTAAAAATGTATTACAACTGGTCATTTTTATGTAAAAATGTATTACTGGTCATTTTGATATAAAATGTATTACAGCTGGTCATTTTGATCTAAAAATGTATTACAACTGTTTTTTTTATTATAAATATATTGTTGATATTTTTACCTTAATGTATTTTTATACTTTCTTAGTGAACCACCCAACAAAAACCAAAAAAAACTATTTTCCCATAACTGGGACCCTAACAGGTGCTACTACCTCGAGTCAGGGTGGACCTAGGAACAACGACAATTAAGAGGTGGTTTCACGCTCTTCAAAATCTGCTGATTAGAGGCCTTGCTGTAGTTTATCGTCATACCCAGGACTAACGCACCGATGTCATGTAAAGAATATATCTTTTTAATCAATTCACCCCAAGCAAGAGGCTACTGAGAGTGAAAGAGAAGGAAAAGACATTACAAGGAACCTGAAACCCAATCCTAAACTGGAAACAAGGGATAAACCTCTACTCCTGTTCAAAAGATTGAGGAGGTGTGTGAACCGTACGAGAGCGGATTTTTGAATTTGTTTATTTGGTTTACTGTTCAGTACATCACTATAGTGTATAAACATTTAAAAAATTTTTTTACAATAATGTTCTTCCTATAAAAGGCCCAATAGCCACTCGAAGTAGAGGGTTACAGAGTAAGAGGTAAGGGGCACCGTTTGTGAGGTTATGTGGGGAAGTCTAGACTTGAACAGGTTGATATTGTGGAGATCGTGGAAGCATCCTCTAGGGATTCCGTTCCATAAAGTCGTTGTTCGTACGAAGAAGCTGTTCGAGTGGAACTTACATCTCATCAATGGAATAAAATGAACAGATAAAATGCAAAAATAAATGACTTGACTTGTTCTATATCCACAGTATGAAAAACCGAATTAATGTCCAGAATATAGAATTGATTTTCGAATTTGTTTTACTGTTCGGTACACGACTGTATAAACATTTATAAAGAAATTAGAAATGTTACAAATGGCGAAAAATTGACATTAAAACTATCTAAAGTTGGTTGACGCAGGTCTATTACACGCGTAGTATGCTTGAAACAGCGGTCAGGTACAACGTCTCACTTAACGACCAGCTCGTTTAGCGAGCAGGTCTTTGGACCTTAACCCAGTCGTTAAGTGAGGAGTGACAGCAAGATCTGCTAAAGGATAGGATGTTGTGGAGAGACATAATAACCCACCTCCTAAAGGAACATAACACAGAGAAGAAGGGAAAAAAAAACTCCCACTTAGTGACCAGGTCATTAGAGATGGTCGTTAAGTGAGAAGTGGCGTATTTTATAAGTCGGGAATACTCTTGTGGTTTGCAGAGCAGTTTTGAAGAGTTCACACTATTAAAAGAAGAACTATATAAAAAGAACTTTAAACTAAACGGCTTTTGAGATAGGAACGGAAAAGAAAAGCGGCACGCAATTGGGTATAAACGTGAAGAACTAAGTGAACAGGGCATTTATTTAACGCTGAGCTTGTGCCCGGATGTTGATGTTGGCAAACGATGGCGATTCACTGATAAGTTTAATGATCTCATAGAGCGAGAACTGATACTTTTTCTTCTGTCTTGGAGAAGAAAAAAAAAGGTAGCAGATATAAAGAATTGGTAAAGAGAGATTGTGGTTTGAAGATCTCCTGTCATAAAACGTAAAGAAATCAACTAAAAACGATGCCAAAGAGATGGAGTAGAGAAAAAAATGTTGATATAATTGAAGATCAGGTGAATCGAGGATGTTTTGGCTGTTCATATTTTGAGAGGTTACATGTCGATATTTACCAATATTTGCTGTTAGTGGGATAATGGCGGGGAGGTACCGTCATCAAGAAGAAGAAGAATAGGTAGAAAGATAAAGGGAAAGAAAGGGAAACAATAGGAATGAGTAGGAGGAAAAAGGCAAGGAAGAAAAAGAATGAAAAAAAAAAGGTGGGTCGAGGCAAAAAATAAAAAAAGAATAAGCAGAAAGTAAAAAGTGAAGAAGAAAAAAAGAAAGAAAAAAAGATGGAAAATATGAAGGGCGAGAGAGCGAGAAGAAAAAAGTAAAAAAAGAAGAAGAAGAATAAGAAGGAGGAGGGGAAGGGGAGGAGAAGAAGAAGAAGGAGGAGGAGAGGAAGAAGGAGGAGGAGGAGAGGAAGAAGAAGGAGGAGGAGGGGAGGAGAAGAAGAAGGAGGAGGATGAGAAGGAGGAGGAGGAAGAGGAGAAGAAGAAAAAGGAGGGGAAGGGGAGGAGGAGGAGAGGAAGAAGAAGAAGAAGGAGGGGAGGATGAGAAGAAGAAGAAGAAGAAGAAGAAGAAGAAGAAGAAGAAGAAGAAGAAATGGGTAAAAGAGGGAGGAGGACAAAATGAAGAAGAATAAGATGAAGATAAAAGAAAGAGCCAATCTAAAAGAAGACATGGAAAGTAGGAGGTGTAAAATAATAGAGAGAAAAAAAGAGGAAGGAAAAATGAAAAAAAAAAATCAACAAGAAGCGAAGAATATGAAAAAGAGACATCTTAGAGAATGAAGAAAAATCAGAAGAGAATAAGAAGTAAATGGAAGTATAAGAAGGAAAAATAAATAAGGGACAGGTGAAAAAGAAGAAAAAGAACGAAAGAAGATAATGAAAAATAAATGAAAGAAGAAAAAGGAGAAAAACGAATAAGGAGCAAATAGAAAGGAAGAAAAAGAAAAAAATAAGAAATGAAAGATAAATGAAAGAAGAAAAAGAAAAAAGAACAGGTTGAAAAGAAGAAAAACTGAAAAGAAGGCAAAAATTTTTAAAAAAAGTTGTGAAGAAAACAGAATTAATAAAAAAAAAAGAGTAAAGATGGAAGCACGAGAAGAAAAAAAGAAAAAAGAAGTAGAAAAAGAATGAACACAGAATCAGAAGAGAAGGATGAGGATAAGAGCAGCAGGAATAAAAAAAAAGAAAGAGAAACTCAGAGAAAAATCTTCGATAAAAAAGAGAAAGAAAATGAAAAAAAAAACGACAATGAACAGAAAGAATACGAAAAGATGTCAGTAAAATAACATGCCTAAAAAGACGTGAAAAATAAAAGAGAATAAGAGACAGATAGAAGGAAAATGAAGAAAAAAAAACAAAGAAAAAGAAAGTAGCAATGAAGAACAACAATAAAGAATAATTCAAGAGAAAAGAAAAAAAGAAGATAGGTTGGAAGTATATTTATGCACGGTCAGAGGTGAATAAACGCCAGAAGGATTTTTTTTTCGTATTATTTGCTGTCGAATTAGTGGCGGGTGGCGAATGGCCAAAAGATTATCAATCTCAAATTCCCAACATTTACCTGCTCTTCGAAGCCCAAATCATGAAAACATGCTTGACCGTTACTCGAAAAAAAAAAAAAAAAAAAAAAAAAAGGCCTTTAGCTAACACCGAATTAAGTCCATGACAAAGAAAATAACACCCCCGCACACCACCAAACAAAAAAAAAAATAAAAATAAATAAAAATAAATAAATGATCCCATGTTTGAAAAACGAAGCGGAACATTCAGTGGTTTCGGGATTTTTTCCTCATTTTTTTTTCCATGTTTGTTCCGTTAGATTCTAAGCAAATAATTTATTTCTGTTTCTTATTTTTGCTTTCATATCTGAGCACTCGAGGAACGACGTTTACACGTGTTGACCCGAAGATAACGCAATCATGAAGTCCTCTAATGATGAACAAGTACAAACACTCAGCCAACCTGGCCACAACATCTGGGGGTCTTAATTCACACCTTCTATGGCCGAGTATCATCATCTTTGTTGTTTTTATCCTTGCGTTTTGGCAAATTGAAGCTTCGGCCACGATAGAACCAAACAAAGATAATAAAAAAAAATATGAGGCCGAACAACTGAGGCATCGCTGTTATTATTTACATAGAATACCTAAGTTTGGCATGAGGCCACAAGTATAAGTCAACTAGTAATTATCGGCCGAACTACTCAGACTGATCATTACTGTTTGCTGTGGCATCCACAGATAAGTGTTAAGGCTAACAAAAGAAGAATCTGTAATGTTATTGATCCTGACCTGGCATCTCGGCTTCAGTCACTTCTCTACCAGCGTAATGTAGCTTCTCTCTGCCTTTTTCATGCTTGTTGTTATGATTGTCATTCACTTGTTTCATCGTTGGGATCAACTGTGTTGGTCGTGTTAATCTGGTGGAACAAGCGGAAGACGATTACAACTGATCTCAACGCTTGAGCCAGCGGATGAAGACGGCTACGCATGACGGATATACTATAGAAGGCGCCACTCGAAATTATAACAGAGTCAGCCGCAGGCCGTTGCAACTTCATAACTGGATTCTGCATGTCGCTTTCCATAGGTGTCGTAGAGAAAGCTCATGATATCAATCGTGTCGGCCACTTCCTGATAAATTGAGATCCATCTTAAACAAATTATGCCATAGGCACTTTCTTCTACTCGGATTTTCTTTCAACTCCGCAAAGCCAAACTGCGATAGCGAATGGATGACGGGAGCAGGTTTTGGTGAAACTGGAAGTTACTAGTCCTGAACATTGGCAGTGAATTTAGTCATCAACGCCATCAGCATAAAGGAAGCGATCAGCAAAGAAGAAATTAAATTCTTGGATGCGAGATAAAGCTAAGACGACGAATGGTATCTTGACATCATGAATTTAAGCGCAGTACTAGATTAGCGGCATGGGCCCATTATTTTACAGTTGAAATGGCGAGATGGAACCGTAAGTTCTATGCTAACAGTTTCTTCTCTCGAACCTCTCGTTTCGGGAACTCTCTTCTGATTTTATGCTTTTCGGTCAAGTTTAATCTTCAAAAATTTAAATTCAATGTCAATCTTTGTCTTCTCACATTTAAATTCTTTTATTGTTCTCGCTTCTTCCTTAAAAATGTTTTTCTTTTTCTATATTCTCTCACACTCAGCAAGCACCCTCATCTTAGCGGCTTTATTGCCTTACTTCGAGTGAAATGATAAAAATACACACACACACACACACACACACACACATATATATATGTGTGTGTGTGTGTGTGTGTGAAAATATATAGAAAATAGGAAAGAACTGGTTAGGTAAATAATCCAAAGTTCCTTAGTATTTTAGTTATTATTTTTAAAAAATAGTGCTCGATACAAAAGTAGAGCATAAATATAATTATTTATTTAAAAATATGATTCCAACTCGCGACATAAAAGGTCTCATGTTTCAAAACAAGAGCCGAAAACTTCAATATATATGAATTCAAAATGTCCATTATAACAGCTAGGGCGAATTGTTTAAATTGGGTAGGCGTGTGTTGGGTGTAAATAATAAGTATCAGCATAGAGTTACCATGGAAATTTTGATTTCAATTATTAAAACACGTAAATTTCGGAAATACGTTATTCCCAAAAAAATTTCGCTTGAAGATGGAACAGAGCTTACTTTAACTCAATTTAATTCAAATAATTATATTGAAGTTTTCGGCTCTTGTTTTGAAACATGAGACCTCTTATGTCGCGAGTTGGAATCATATTTTTAAATAAATAATTCAAAGATGGTGACCCCGTGTTCATGGACGCCGTGTTTCAGTAGATCTAAAACCTTCATAGATAATTAATCCATGAGTGCAGCAACTGCGGTAGTTACACACAGAGCCGGTCGTCCTTTAACATCTAAACTGGAAGAAAATATTCAATGATATACCCAGATGATTACAATGCTGGTCTCTATGTACAATTTTAACACTGTACTATACTTCTAACATTGTTTATATCTGGTCATTTGATTTATCTATACTTATAACTATATATATATATATATATATATATATATATACAGAGAGAGAGAGAGAGAGAGAGAAGGGAGAGAGAAGGACAGAGGGATAGCGAGCGAGCTTAGGGGTAGTCTCTCTGACTGATGACAAATTGATCGAGTTTCGATCCCGACTTGAAGCAATCGGATGTCTAATCACACTGATGAGCTGTGATACAGCGAAACAATCCGTCTCTGGACGATAATGTTAAAAATATTTTTTTTTTAAGTATGTTATATTTATGAGTTAAAGTTCTCAATATCTCGGATAGATCGTATATATATATATATATATATATATATATATATATATATATATATATATATATATATATATATATAAATAAATATAAATTTATCTTCATCAGTAGCACGACTCGGAGTTTCATGCATGACACATTCGTCTGGTTCTGAGTAGAGTGACCATTATATAATTCAAATTTTAATGAAATCCATGCATTCCATATTATACGGGGATTACTGGTTTTATTATTACACTAGCAGTAGAGCCCGGCGTTGCCCGGAGATGTAACAGTAAGAGATAGATCAAGTATCGACCATCATAAAGACTGAAAAATAAAATTGACAAAGATTATTGTTTAAGGTTGACGGACACGCATGTCTTAATTAGTTTTTTTTTTACGAATTGGTCAAACCCAAACTCAAACAAAAACATTGTTTTCAATCGTTATGAGTCTACCGATTGAATAGAATTTTATTATAAAATATTGTCTTGTAAATGGAATTTTTAAAGCATTCTGAATGTAAAAATAAAGAAAAAAGTGTGCAAGACAATAAGAAACACTACCTGCCAAAACAAAAAGTGAAGTTTTGTTGAAATCGGTTGAAATATGTAGGAAATCCGATCCCATATATAAACGGACACACACACACAAACAAACAACCTGGGTTTAATAATAAGTATAACTCGATATGAGTTGTCCCCCTTTCATTCTCGCGACAGCGATGCCTCTTAATCGTGTTTTTAAATTGATTTCGTGCAAAAACAATTGGGTTTTTTCCAATTTTAGGCGCTGTCAGAACCACCGCAAGGTAATTTTACGTAATCCTGTGAGGTTTTGTTGAAATCGGTTGAAAAATGTAGGAAATCCGATCCAATATATAAACGAACAGACACGCACACACACACAACCTGGTATGATTTAAAATAGACAAGATCTTCACGTAAACAATGACAACATAAAATGAAATGGATTAAGATAATTATTTTCTGTTTATAAGTTGTTTTCATTGATACAATTTATTTAAGTAAATATAATTGCGTTAAATTCTTTCAATGAATGAATAAGCTGATTGCGAGATCCACGACTACAGTAATTTGGACATTGCTAAACGGACGTGTGTGTGTGTGTGTGTGTGTGTGTGTGTGTGTGTGTGTGTGTGAAAGAATGGCGCAATTAGGACCCATAGAAACACACATGGAAACCTACAAAACTTTGTCTGCAGCATACTTGTAAAATAATACAACTGTACTAGCTTCATTCACATCCACATAATAAAAAAGAAAAGGCCAGCACTCAATAATATAAATAATGAACACGGTCACAAAGTGCTGAACGTGTTTGGAAAAAAACATTCCCATCTTTATAGATAGGCACATATATAAATCTACACATTCAGTTCAAATAAAAAATACATCCTTAATAATGTCTAATAGTATAGCCGAAAGTGCTCGGATGTATAGAATATTTTGACAGTTTTATACACGCTTTATGTCCAGAAAAGGAACCATACTGTTATGGGACCTTACCCATAATAACATAATGGACTATTCCATACGTAATAAATACTGCGCCTCAAGAGGAAGCAGAGAGTTCAGTCCGAAGTCGGGCGACCGGCTGATCGGTTGAACTCTCTGTCTTCGGGCGGGGAGGAACCCGAAGGAGGCTACGCCGAAGGGCGGATTCTCTTTCGGGGAGGTAAACCGACCCTGAACCCGTTTATACGGGTTCAATGGGCATATTTTGGGGCCGAGCCCACGGGCTCGGAGATCCCACGTTAAACCGGACTTGTGCCCCATGATGCCCTCGTGGCTGGGGGTGTGACTAAATACCGTTCAGTCTGAAGTCTGGAGTGAAGTCTGTCAGAAGTCTGTCAGTCAGTCAGAGCGATCGAGTCTTTCAGTCGAGTCAGAGGCAGTCCGAAACAGAGTCGCGTTCAGACAATTACTGCAAGACATTGGAATAGTGATACTGGTCGAGACTACATTGTTCTCCCTACTAAACCTGATTGTTCGTACTAACACTTCTACTTCTCTGTATATATTCCTGTTTGTAATATATCTGTATTATTCCATATCCGTGTTCGAGTTCTTCTTTATTAGTTCTACTTTGGACTATCACCGTCGTACAAGGAACCGGACCATAACACATACGGAGAAAAGAAAAGTGGAATAAAAAGTTTAATCCCAATATCTTGTCAGTTGTTTTTACGAAAACTACTATAAAAGAAGGATTGTTGCCCAAATACACACACACACACACACACACACACACACACACACACACACACACACACACACACACACACATATATATATAGAGAGAGAGAGAGAAATAGATAAAGAAAGAGAGAGAGAGAAGTATAAATAAATTTTCAACTGTTGTTTAAATGTTGCCTTCTCCCTCTTTCTAAACGTAAACACACACACGCACAAACGTATCACGTATATATATATATATATATATATATATATATATATATATATATATGTGTGTGTGTGTGTGTGTGAGAGAGAGAGAGAGATGAGTCGGCATTTTTAATAAGTTTCTCTGTCGGGAAGGTGAAGTTAATTTTGGATTTAACAAAAGAACATTTAGTACAATCAAACATTAACCTCTCCCTACTGAGACATTAAATTAAAAGATTTGCCTACTCGTCCCAAACCAAAGTTATTTCACTTTCGGTAATGATATATATATATATATATATATATATATATATATATAGTTTAAATGTTATCTCTCTTTATATATATATATATATATATATTTTATATATATATATATATATATATATATATATATAGTTTAAATGTTATCTCTCTTTATATATATATATATATATATATATTTTATATATATATATAAAAACACACACATATACATGTGGATAAATGATTCTTTTTACATATATGGCTGATAAATATAACTATCACACACACATCGCTTAAAATTTTCGCGCAACGAACGCATGATATAGTTTAAGAGAACTTGAAAACTTTTCCCACACAATCATATTTTAATTCTACTGGTTTCTACGTTAGTTTGTTAGTTCGTACGTACGTTACGCCTAACCAATATCTCATATAAAATAGACTATTCCATTTTGATTGTGAGGAAAAGCAGAAAAGACAGAGCAGAGACGCTAGCTGTTTTCAGAGAAAGGCCGAAAGAAAAAAGAAAGTGAAAAGACAGCAGGCGATAACACTCTCATGAGCTTAAATAGTTGCTTCGATGAAATGGAAAACCCTATCAATTTCAATTTTTTTTTATTTGTAATTCTCGTCCTATTATTTTCATATTATAATCCTGCTCGTTCCTTAGTTAGCGCGACCGTTACGCCTTGCCAATATCTTATAAATAATCGACTATTCCGTTTTGATCGAGATGAACAGCAGGAAAGATATATCAGAGACGCTATTTTGTTTCAGTGAGAAAAAGAAAGTTGGAAGCGATGTGTTTAACGTCTGCCTCAGTGCAACTTCGCATTTTCAAATTTCTTCATTTGTACCCTCTTACTTCTGTAGAAAATGACTACAATCATACTCATGATTGTTATTGCAATATTTTTTTAAAGTTGTTAAGCTCAAATATTTGACGATGAAACATTTCCACAGGCTGTAGACCTAGTAAGATTATTCATTCATTAACTTAAGAATTATTATTCCTCAGAAAATTAAAACAGTAAAACCTTGACATTTTAACGGGTACGACTAGTTAAATATAGTGTTCTAGGTTGGGTTTTGTTATACTGGAACACACCTATTCTATTGTTAATAGACTCTGCCACATATAATAAGTAGTAGTAGTAGCAGTCGCGAAGGGTCTCAGTGGAGTTGAGTGAGTCAGTCGATGTCGGACATTAAAGTATCAACCACCACAACTAGATTGCTGCGTCATTAACTCTTATAACAAGTTCCTATCGTTTTGTACGTCGAACCTTTTTTTAGGACCGACTTAGTGAAATAGAAACCTCCACTGTGAAACTACTCTATAACATTTTCAGATATCCAAACTACGACATTAAAACTATATAGCATTTAATTTTTTCGAATATCATCAGCGAACATGATCTTATTACCATGAGTGTACACGACCAGGGCTTTCCACAGATTCCATTTCATTTCCATGACTTAAAAAAAAAAAAAAAAAAAAAAAAGAAAAAAGATTGCCTTCTTTTCAATTAATAGTTGTCCTTCTCCTAGATTGACTGTCAGCCAAAGCTAGAAACCTTAGTATATGCTGATTTTTAAACCACTCACGGGGGAGTTAAATACAAAATGATTTCTTTCGCATGGTTCTGAAGAGTAAAACAAAAAAAAATCTTAATGAATTTCTGAAGAAAGACGTCAAAAGATTCTGGCTTCAGCAATGATTTGATATTCAAATTTCTAGAATTTTTGATAACTAGCCTTTACTACCTTGAGTTTTAAACTGGACTCAACCACTGAACTAGTACAACTGTTGAAATCTGTAATCATCTCAGACAGACACTCTTTTTACGCCATTAAATCTTGGCTTTTAATCACTTCAAAAGAGTTCTTGGTGGTCGTTGCTGTTACACACCAACTTTTCACATTCTTAAAAGAAATGGAAAAATAATAAGAAAAAAAAGGTGTGTATATCATGAATTCCAGTCTTGGGTTGATTTGTAACGAGAGGACGAATTGTTATCTCTGAGGAAAAGCAAACATTCAAATGTCATCTTACATCACTAACACGTTTGGTACTATTCGACGTGTCATTATCCACTGGTTATTTTTTAACTCTGAAAAGAAAGAAAAAAAAAAGGCGAAGGCCCAAAGGTTTGGTCATTTAGTTTTGGGCACAAGAAAGACTGACGTCAGAATTTTCCGATTGTATCCCATGACAAGTCACGTCTCAATGACAATGTTTCGCATTGTCTGCCCTCCGGCTTCAATTTCTTCGAAGTTTTTCTTTCTTGACAGAGGTTTTGCGGCCATATTGTCTGCATGACAAAAGCTTCTGGACCAGAATTTTTTTTTTTTAAATTTATTTATTTATTCTCATTCTCAGTACTGAAGGTCGGGAACCACGGCACAATTTTTACGGTAGAGTTGTCTTCTTCTAGACTGGTTACCAACCACGGATCGAGAACCCACTCTGCTTTAATATTTAACCAATAGCTGGGGGAGAGAAGAGATACATTCTTACCTTTCCCAAGATTATTGAAGCGGAATTGATGGTAACGAACACGACCGGAATTCGAACGCAACTCTCAGATTCCATATTCCGAGCCTCTATCCATTACACAATCCTTTACATCCCTGATTATCATCAACGGGTCCTGAATCCTCTTCGGGACAATAATCGAAAGCTGACTACCGAGCCACAGCTCAACTGTCCTCATCACATGTGTGAAGCTGTTGGCTATTTGAAGGGATAACATCAAGGTGACTAAGTAATCCGATCTACACCGGTTTTGAAAACACGGTGATCCTTGTCCTAGAGAGATTGCCAACCAAAGATGATGAACACTCTCTCCTGTCTTTTTATTTATAGTTATATTTACTGCTTCTAACCGGTGAATATTTCACGGTTTTCCAATTTTAAATTAATGATTGAATAAGCTCCTTGCGGGTTTTACGACAATAAAATATGCGTAGAAATTCACCTATCACATTGTTAAATTGCTTAACAATTTTAACAAAATATTGCAATGACAATCATAAATATGAATGCTGGTTATTATTTTATGAAGTAAGGGGGTACAAATAAAAAGATTTGAAACTGACAACGTTTTCCCATTTCACGGAAACTGCCGTTTTTTTCTTTCATTCATCCATTCCTTTCCTCGCTGACACTATGTAGTGTTTCTTCCCTCTTTCCACGAGATCAAAATGGAATAGTTCATTATTTATGGAGTATTGGAAGGGTATGTCAAACACTCTTTCTTTCTTTCTTTCTTTCTTTCTTTTTTCTCTTTCTTTCTTTCTTTCTTTCTTTCTCACTGAAACCAATTAGTGTCTTCACCCACTTTCCATGCGATCTAAACGGAACAGTCCATTATTTGTGAGGTACTAGAAAGATACGTGAAATACTTCTTTCTTTCTTTCTTTCTTTCTTTCTTTCTTTCTTTCTTTCTCACTGAAATCAATTAGTGTCTTCACCCACTTTCCATGCGATCTAAACGGAACAATCCATTATTTGTGAGGTACTAGAAAGATACGTGAAATACTTCTTTCTTTCTTTCTTTCTTTCTTTCTTTCTTTCTTTCTTTCTTTCTTTCTTTCTTTTTCTCTTTCTTTCTCACTGAAATCAATTAGTGTCTTCACCCGCTTTCCATGCGATCTAAACGGAACAGTCCATTATTTGTGAGGTACTAGAAAGATACGTGAAATACTTCTTTCTTTCTTTCTTTCTTTCTTTCTTTCTTTCTTTCTTTCTTTCTTTCTTTCTTTTTCTCTTTCTTTCTCACTGAAATCAATTAGTGTCTTCACCCACTTTCCATGCGATCTAAACGGAACAGTCCATTATTTGTGAGGTACTAGAAAGATACGTGAAATACTTCTTTCTTTCTTTCTTTCTTTCTTTCTTTCTTTCTTTCTTTCTTTCTTTCTTTCTTTCTCACTGAAATCAATTAGTGTCTTCACCCACTTTCCATGCGATCTAAACGGAACAGTCCATTATTTGTGAGGTACTGGAAAGATACGTGAAAAACTTCTTTCTTTCTTTCTTTCTTTCTTTCTTTCTTTCTTTCTTTCTTTCTTTCTTTCTTTCATTTTCTCACTGAAACCAATTAGTGTAACCCCAATACACAGACTTTCCACACGAACAAAACGGAATAGTCCATGATTTATTAGGTATTGGAGGGATACGTTAAACACTTTTTCTTTCTTTCTTTCTTTCTTTCTTTCTTTCTTTCTTTCTTTCTTTCTTTCTTTCTTTCTTTCTTTCTTTCATTTTCTCACTGAAACCAAGTAGTGTCCCTCCCCCCCTCACCTTCCACGCAATCAAAACGGAATAGTCAATGATTTATTAGGTCCTGGCCGGTCATAACGGCCTGGCAAATTAAGGAAGGGAGTGACAATCACAATTATGATAGGAAAGATAATAGCAAAAACAGCTACGAACAAAACGCATCAATTTTAATGCGTTTAAAGGTGAGCAAACGTTTCTAAAATAAAATACTCAATAACAAAATTTGAACAACAGCAGTTAATAGATAAATAAAAGTTAAAAAGTATTTATTTTCCAACTTTAAGTTTCGCTGATACATCGCTCATATCTGTATCACGCCGCCATTAACGTTTAACTCTTAAATAATTTGTTTTTGGGAACTACATGTAATATTTTGAAAAATAAAATGTAGAAGCAAAGCATAAATTATTTAAGACCCAACCTAATATTTATATTGTATATTGAAGTGTGCGTGAAAGATAGATATAGGAATTCCGTTTGTCCGTTGTAGATGACGTCATCTCTAAGTGAAATTGTTCCCAACAGGCTAAGAAAACTTTTGTGGAGAAGGTAATGATTTTTCTGGATGTCAATCGTTAATAATTGCCAACTTTTTATTTAGGACTTTCTAAATGTCTCTAATCGCAGATAAAGTTTTAACCTTCGGGTCGTTTAACGAAAGACGTGTGAGAAAAAGGAAAAGCATGAATTATTCGCTCTGGAAATTGATAGTTATAACATTATAATGGTTTCTTTTCTCGCACATCTCGGCTGTGGAACTCACTTCCGGTTTCTTGCTGCATACAATCTTCAAAAATGTAAATGCAATGTCAATTAGCATCGTGTTCTTTAATTTTTTACACATTGCGTAATAGTGACATTATCGCCTTGCATGAGGTGAAATATTAAAAAAGAAAAATGTTTTTCAGAGAGACTGAGGTTATTTAAATTTCTTGGTTTCTGGCCGAATACATTTTTCTGAACAAAAAAAAAAAAAAAAACAAAAAACAAATAGCAATATCTGTCTTTATCTCTGAGATGACATATTATGATTACTTGCATTATTTACATCACTTCGACTCTTATCCTCATCTTCATCGCCATTATTCACAACGTTTCGGCTGTTGTACGCTCTATCCTTCTTCAGGTGATTGCAACTGCGAATCGAACCTTTTATTTCGTCCACCGAGGTAGGTTGTTCTAGTTCTACGGATGTCTCAGTTATTTCACTTGTAACTCAACTCTCCAAGATGTGAGTTCAACACGAGGCTACAACAGTGGTGAACCAAAAACTTAAAGCGTTGAGTTACAAGGAAATAACCGAGACACTTGGGAGAGGCATGGCACGTGGAACTAGAACGTTCTACCCCGGTGGATGAAATAAAAGATTCGGTTCGAAATTCCAATCACCTGAAGAAGGCCGAAGCGTACAACGGCCGAAACGTTGTGAATATGACAATGAAGATGAGGATAACAGCCCGAGTAATGTAAATCGTGCAAGTAAAAAAAAAAAAAAAGTTTTTCAAACTAGGACGCATTGAGTGTGTCAATTATCATATCTAACTAAAAGAGATAGAGGCTTGTGGTTGTGCACAGCTTGCGTCGTGGGTAAAACTCATCCATTAAGGTTATGCTCAAGTCTGTGAAAACTGTTGGATTACATTCAGGGTTAGGATTTCGGTCATCGTATAATTTATTGTCTTCTTTTAGATTGATATATGTCAGGGATTACATTGACCTCTCCGGACAGATACGTGCAAGTCTTGTCGAAACCAATACTAACATTAAATTTAAGATGAAAAAGAAATAAATAAAAAGTAAAAAGCTAAAATATCTCATAAAATTAAAAGTGACAGGCGATCTTTCAGTTCTCTGAGATTTGTGCATTGTAACAATTGTTTAGTTGAATGCGGCCATTCACTAGCAGTTGACTTACTACAAATCACACGACTTCTCGTGTCTATTCAATCATTATTCATAATACCTGCTCCAAAATAATAATAATAATAATAATAATAATAATAATAGACAACAACGCAAGCAATCGAGCTCGAATAATTGGAAATATCCTGTAAATAAATAAACAATTCTACGTGTAAAAAGATTAGGCACATCTCCTTTTCTCAGTCGTGAATGATCTTTCGTAAAACTGTTTGCCGCAGGTATTCTATACTCCCAAAATCAATATACCTGCTGTATCCGTTTTTCGACTCGCCCAAGTAATGTTCAGGAGGGTGGAGATAGTGAGTTAATTAATCCAAAACGAGTCTTTTCCACTATAACGTGCATCAGTAAAGAAGTTTTGTTTTAAATGTATTTAAACACACACATATATACATATATATATATATATATATATATATATATATATATATATATATATATATATATATATATAAATTATAAATTAATTGATTTAAAATATGGTTTTTCCGCTACACAGATCTAACCATGTTGCAAAAATGGAAGTTAAAAAGCCCTGAATTTAATTTTGAAATTAAATTAAAGACATTAGTTCCATTTCCTCCTCAAGCGAATTTTAATGCTCTGTAAATTTACATTGAGCACTATTTTGTAAAAATAAAAATATCTATAAGAACACTGGATTATATATCTTACTGTTCTTCCTTTATATATATATATATATATATATATATATATATATATATATATATATATATATTATGAAATGCACAAAGTCCGACAATTATTTTAAGACATTTTTTTATGTTTATACATTCTTTTGATAGATACAAATATTTAAGTAAATGCTTTGTTTAAAATAAACAGTATTAAACAAGATTTACCGGCCTGAATGTCCGAGAAATTTTCACAGAAAATATTCGTCCTTCATAATGTGTGACGTCATTTGTTTATATTTGATAAGCCATGAGCAGATATGAATGTACGTGAGAGATTCATAGAAGATTGAAGTACAAATACAGTAAATTCGACCATGCTAACCGAAATGCTCCTCTGTGGCCAAGTCGGTAAAGGCACGTCAAGCTAAATGACATTTCCGTATAGGATACAGGTTCGAATCATGGCGAAGAACGAATATCTCGGATATTCAGGCCGATAAATGTTGTTTATTATAAACAAAACATTTAGTTAAATATTTGTATCTATAAAATTCTATAAAAAGAATGCATAAACATAAAAATGTCTTAAAATATATATATATAAATATTTCTTTATATATATATATATATATATGTGTGTGTGTGTGTGTATGTGTGCGCATTTCATTGAATACGACAGACAAGGTGCTTTTATTTAGTTTTTTATACAATTTCTCATGCGATCTAATATATTTTTTTTCTTTTCGGATGATAAATTATATAAAAACTATTAGAAAATTATTAGATCGCATAAGAAATTGTATAAAAAACTAAATAAAAGCACCTTGTCTGTCGTATTCAATGAAATGTACATAAAAGAACGATTTCTGCCTAAATGCACAAATATATATCGTATTTACGATTCCAATGATATAAATTATGACCATGGAATATTAGTGTTTAAGCCGCTTTTATTATATTAATATTATATATATATATATATATATATATATATATATATATATATATATATATATTATATTAATATTATATGTATATATATATATATATATAATAATAATATAATAGCAGATATTCAAAAAACATCTTTCGGTCGACATACAGTTTTTGATTTTATAGGAAAAAAAACACATGCCTGATGATGGATGGAAGACTGTCCGTAAGTACTAGCATTTTAACATCAAATAAACTGAAAAACTACAGACAACAAGTTTTTCTTCAAGGATCAAAACTCGCACTATGGATGAACAGGATTTTAATGCATATATTATGTTTTCTAACGATGAACGTCGTCAATAATCGCATTGATACTTCTGATTAATTCTATGTGTGATTATTCTTTGTATATATATATATATATATATAAGTTCGAATTCCAATCGAATCCATTACATTCACTTACGTGATATTACCCTTGGGAGGTTCTTAATCCTCTTCTTCTCCCTCCAGATATGGGTAAAATAGCAGGACAGACTGGGTTCTTGGGTGGCAACTGGTCTAGGAGAAAACAACTCTGAATTCAAAACCTGCGTAGGGTCGTTTGTTTGTTCTTGAGGCACGTAGATCTCTGTTTTAGGCCCTTCATAAAGTTGTAGTTGGTTTCACAACTATAATCAAATCATATGTGCTGGTGTCTTGCTGTTGGTTCCCAGGAACTGAGTTGCTTGACCCTCATACGAATATGACGGGATAGTTTACCATATATATATATATATATATATATATATATATATATATATATATATATATTGTATATATTGTATATTTAGGAAGCAATCCTTCCTTTATGCATGTTTCATTAAAAACGACAGACAAGGTAATACGGTTGAGCTTTTTATTTAATTTTATTTAATAAAAAAGAAAAAGCCAACTCTTAACAATATTAACTATGAACAAAGCCATAATGTGCTAACCGTATTCGGAAATTAAAAACATCACTACCACACACTGAACATAGACAGAACGCACACACTCTACTAAGCTGATAATCGAATCATTCTTGATAATGGCTAAAGGTATAGCTGAAAGTGCTCGGAAATATAAAACAATTGGACAGTTCTTACACACCCTTTGTCCAGAAAAGAAAGCTCTTGTCAGAACACAAGAAAAATTAAATAAAAAGCTCAACCGTAGTACCTTGTCTGTCGTTTTTAATGAAACATGCATATATATATATATATATATATATAGATAGATAGATAGATAGATAGATAGATAGATAGATAGATAGATATACATATAAATATTATATATATATATATATATATATATATTTGAGATAATGTATTATGATTACTTACATTATTTACATTATTCGGACTGTTATCATCATCTTCATTGCCATATCCACAACGTTTCAACGGTTATACGCTCCGGTCTTTTTCAGGTCACTGGAATTTCGAACCGAACTCTTTATTCCGTCCACTAGGGTAGATTGT